AAAGATTGGCCACCCACTACATTCTCCAATGCTCCAATCAGCAGCAGCGAAGCACGAAGCCTCCTTTTTTTAGGATGTTGGTTTTGGGGCATAGCGCCTTTTGATGGGTTTCGGTGTAGGCCCTCTATAACTGGTCTTGTCTTATCTGTGCAACGGCTCCAAACCCTACCTCACACCGTGATCCGTGCTTGCATCTCCCATGCCTTAACAACCTTCGTCCCTAAACCCCAAACCCCACACTCTGAAACCTAGACCCTGGATCCCCAACCCTAAACCCAAGCCCTAAACTGAGCCCGCTGAGGCAGCCGCATGGGCGTTGGTCATTATCCGGTTCCTTAAGCTTGGAGGGGAAGCTGGCGACGCTTACTTTTGGATTCTTGACATCAGGCCCTACCATCCAGGTCTAAAGGGGTTTAGGGGTTCGGCGGTCAGGGGTTTTCGGCTCAGGATATCATGCAGTTGGAATTTGCCAATGTATGAAATGCTTGTTTGATTTCTTACTTGATGGTGGGGTTATCTCAACTATCTCCAATGAGGACTCCAATGCTCCAATGAGGACTCCAATGCAGACAACAACAAGAACAACAACATCAACAACAACAACAACAACAACAACAACAACAGTTACAATGATGACAGTTATTGGACGCTGCGCGAGTGGGCTGTGCTCATAGCGGGCGCATCAGAAACTTCGAGACGTGCCGTAAGCCAGCGCCGCCCCTTGGTAGCTGACCTGCCGACATTCCAATAGAAGTATAGCAGCCTTAAACGGAAACGTCATGCACTTTTCTTAACAAGAACAGTCGCAGCCTTAAAACGATGGGCAAATCCCATACAGAATGAAGCCGAAATCCCAGAAATAGGAAATATAATACACCACGACACAGAAGATCAACAATCCCCCACATACGTCATGCAAATGGACACTTCTCGGGAGGCCTGGATGAGACTTGTCGGGGTCGGTGTTTTTATGTTGTCCTCACCACAGTCAGGTCGCTCGAAATCTTGGCGAATCCTAAAGCAACGTGCCCAATCCTGGTCGGCTGCGGGCCTTTTGAAGATTATCTGATATTTCTATTGATTGCCGCTTGCGCGTGACGCACAAAACATCTCACACTCCCCACTAGTGCACCGTCATCAAGCGAGCCTGAAGCTGGAGCGATATCCATGCTGAAGTGAAGAAGCAGCACGAGGACAGGCAACAAGCGGGTGCGAGGAAAGCGCAACACAGCGGAACGGCGAAGTGTCTACACACAGGAAGTCATGGTCACAGGCCAAGTATCTCTGGTGGGCTTTCGCGGCTCTGCATCTCTCACACTATCCAATGTCGGACATCTTTGTTTTGTCACTCGAACCACCGTACAAGCTTGGTAAACCCTGCACAGAACATCAGACCTGGCTTCGGCGGCTTCCAGCTGAAAGGAGGATCATTTTTCAAAGCTCTGGGTTTCAGGCTTTGGAACCAAGATTCAGATTTAAGGCTCATGGTTTAAGGTTCAGGGTTAAGGGTGCAGGGGAACCCGAACCCAGAACACACATCCAAGTCAACCGGGGTTGGCACAGGCGACTGGCACCGGTGGGTTTCATGTTTAGAGATTGTCAGGTTCAAGTCGTCGGGTTAAATTCATACAAACCCGCTGCATTGCGAAGCCTGTCGCACACAAGCAACAGTAAGGCTTGGGAGTTGCGAGCTACCTCCGACGACAAAAATTGTCTGGGGAGTACAAAAGCGTAGCTAGTGCAAGTTTGTCGGGCCCTGTGTCAGCCAATTGCCATAACGTGTATACTGAGCTTCCCTCGCCCCTCGCCCTAAAAATTGAAAACCCTTCAACCTCAACCTCAAACCCCACACTCTAAACCCTGAACCATGAACCCTAAATCCTAGACCCTAGTCAAGTTGTTCTCCATGCTCTAATGTCCGAAACCGGCATATGTTACAACTGGTGGAAAGCAGTGCAGTGCAAGGCTTGCAGTTTAAGTCAATATTTGAGTTTAGGTCAATATTTCAAGTTCAAATTATAAAATGGAGCTTCAGATGTAGAATGTTGAAAGCCGTCTCAGGCCCTCAAAGGCACACCAGAACAAGAAAAGTCTCTGGGGTGCACATCGGGGCCAGCATTGGGAAGATGCTGACGAGTTGCAAGCCTCAAAGTGGCACCCATCCTCTCTCGACAGCGGCGCTGCACAAAAGGCTTTCAACAGTGAAGGAGGAACTCGATCGCGCTGGCTTTGTCGCAGCCGGTGGCAATCTACCCGGCCTTGGAAGAAGGTGTAGTTTCCAAAGCAGACTGCGTGAAAAGCACGGGCGATCCGGACCCGTCTTATAAAAAGTGCTCGTAGAAGCGCAAAAGCAAAGTGCCAGCAAAATTGTGCAGAAAAGACCTTCAGCTGTCCCTGGGCGTCTTGTTCAGAAGTTGAACGAAAGCTTCCTTCAAAGTACCAAGTTCAGAAAATGGCCAGCTTGCGACTGGAACTGCTTTTTGACTGGGTGCGGCAGGTCTTTTTGTAAAAGCAAAGGCGGAAGAAAACCATAGAAAAACACTGAGGCACAGTCGGTCGGCGCGCCATCCGCTGGTTTTGCAACACCTGGTGTAAAACCAAATACTTCCCCCCACCTCGCGGAAAGGTGGAAACCCTACCGCTTACCTCCAGGACCAACATGCCAAAAGAAGACAGCAAACCAGCAAGGAAAGCCCAGAAGCCGAGAAGCCAAATGCCAAAAACAAAAAACAAACAACACCTAAAAACAATAGGGTTCCAAAGGTGATTAGCTACGGAATAGTATTACATCCAGGCTTCTATATTCGTAAGCTCTAGCACAGGGACCCCACACCTCCCCAAAACCCCAACCCTAAATCCTAACCACCCCAACGAAACTCTCCGAGCTAGCCGGCTGGGAGATGATGAAGCCGGATCCCGAAGAACTCACCTGACAAAAGCGAACAAGTTAGGGTATTCGGGCTTTGGCGTTTTTGAGCTTTAGGTATAAGGTTTGATGGTTCCATTGTATAGATACAATTTGGGATTTTGGACGCTATTTTGTTGTTGGTATTGTTGTCGCGCTCTCTTGCGTTGATTATTCGTGTGGGGGTCGCGGCTTCAGGCTTTAGCAAAAGGGTTTGCGGGCGCACGGAGCACTTCTCGTGGCGCTTACTTTGCTAGGGTTTCGCGTGTAGAGGTTGAGGGGCTGAGGGCCTTAGGGCCTTAGGGTTTGCGACGCAAAAGCTTGCAGGCCTTTACACACCAACCCCCTGCCTAAAGCTAACGCAAGACAGCACAGCTCCAGGCCCTGTATCTAAACCCAAATCGCGCACCCATGCGCACCCTAAACCCTAAAGTCTATAGAGAAATCGCAAACCCTACACCGTAAATCTCTTCAACCCGAAAACTCTCAAACCCGCGAAGCCTCAAGCGCCAACCCACTCGCCAAGTCTTCAAAGGTTGCATAGAACCCTTGAGTTTAGGGTTTACCTGTGACCCCATACTCTACGAAACAGTAGGTTATGACCCCTTCTGACCAGAGGGTAGAACCCTCAACGCGGCAGGCTTTTGTACCAGGTAGGGTTTAGGATTCTCTCGGGATCACGCTCCTCGTCTCGGGCAGGGTAAAGGATCATGGGACTTGGTAACGAGGGCTGGAAGTAAGGTCACTATAATTATAGTCATAATTACGTCTAACTTGCTACCCCAATCAAAGTACGTATAACATCGTATTCTTACTAAGTCCAAGCATCCTCCAAGTACTCGACTGCTCAGCCCAATATAGACCTCTGAAGAATCAGTCATGGTATACCTTATTGTCCCTGCACCTCTGTACTATAAGACACTCGCGAAGCCCTCTTCGAACTAGTACGGCCCCTATACTACACCTGTATAAAAACTCCAGTTAGACCCTCAGCCCAATCCTTTAACACCGGGGGGCGCCGGCCCTCAAGGACCCCTCCAAGAACGCTCCCTAAATATCCTAAACCCCCTGAACCCTACACCCCTGAACCCTAAACCCCTGAACACTAATCCCTGAACCCTAAACCCTAAACCCCAAACCCTAAACCCCTGAACCCTGAACCTCTGAACCCTAAACCCCTGAACCCTAAACCCCAAACCCCGGAACCCTAAACCCTAAACCCCTGAACCCTAAACCCCAAACCCCGGAACCCTAAACCCTAAACCCCTGAATCCGGTTGCGCGCTGACATGGCACTAGCAACATCCGAAAAAAAAAAACCCTGAATCCTAAACCCGTGAACCCGAAACCCCATATGTCCCCTGACAAACCGCCGGCTGTTGCATGAAAAGCCGGGCCTGTTGGGTTCGAGTCCAGGGACCTCGGGTTGCTAAGGCTTTGGGGTTTCGAATTTAGGGTTTAGGATTGAAGGTTTGGAGTTTAGGGTTTAGGGTTTATAAGGTTTACTCACTCAGCTGGTTTTTCACACAGGAAAAGTTTAAACTTTTTAACCAGAAATACATATATAATCACAATCATGCATATAATATTGTGGATGGACGGCCATATCTAATTTATAAACCCAAGAATTTTGAGTATACTCCCCAGCCGAACCTTTCACACCCATGGTAAGACCCAAGAACCTTGACCTGAATAGTCCATGTAGAGCCAAGGGCAAGCCCGGAGTCAAGAAGAAAGTACGATTGAATGGTGACCCGACATCCCGTACTTATAGATATTATGTTGGTTTGGCTCATTCAGTTTTAAACAAGTGGATGGACGGCATAATATTATATTCAAAGCAGACAGCTCTTTTCTCGGAAGTAAGGATGGTCATTGAGCGCGGTTCCGCTCGCGAGGCGGCTGGAAGGATATGCTATGCATGCCTGGACAAGACTCAGCATTTCGCCATCGCAGCCAAAGGGATCGGCGTGCCGCTTGGTTTTGGCGGGACGGCTCGGCCACTGCGGCAGATGATCCAGACCTGTGTCCTGGAATCAGAAAACTCTAGTCAAACTGGATGCAGGCCAGAAAACCAAAAGATATTATTATACATTTCATGTCAGACTGATCGCAATGTCCTTGCAACCGAGAAGGCGCAAGATGTGGAACTGCAGCTCCAATTTGCTGGTCACAGCAAAGAACTTACTGCCCTTGTACATCTCCATGAAGCAGCATCCGAAAGCCCAAATATCCACACGGACGTGCCAGGCATCCCCAAACAAGATTTCAGGCGCCCGATAAGGCAAAGTCGTGCATTGGCCGAAAGTCCGTAGACCAGATGTCATGCCTGGCCGCAAGCATGCGCAGCCGCCCAAATCTCCAATTTTGGCCACGCCCTCAGGAAAAAGCAACAAATTATTAGTCGACAAGTCTCGGTGGGCAATGTCTAAACAATGCATGAAAGCCAACCCCTGGGTGACACAAGAAGCCACCGAATCAAGGACGTTGCGTTGGAGTTGTCCTGTTTTTTCGATCTCCATATGGACGGAACTGCAGGCCAGTTCCCACACAGCGGCCGATTTGTCCATCCAAATGCCAGCATCCAGAAGCTGCACGATGTTGGGATGATCTTGAAGCTGGGTGGCGAAAACCACATCCTGAAAAGCTTCCAAATCGTCTTTCAAGAGCTTGATGGCAACATCATCATTATCGGTTGCTCGTTTCGCTCTCACAACAAGGCCGAAACTTCCTTCACCAAGTTTGCCACCGCCTTGGTACCCTTCAAGTGGTTGCCTTTGCAACAATTTCACCTGTCGAACGAGATGCGATTGGATGTCAGGAGCTTTTGCTTCACTTGGCGAGGGTATCGGCCCAACCTGCGCACCGGGTTGAGAACCGCCCAGGCCCGTCGGCTCAGGCTCTAAGTCCCAGTGCAAACTGCTTCCGCCTGAGTAGTCAGCAAGGCATCGAGACACCCAGCGGGATGCGGTCGCATACGGCACATCCTTGTCCTGCTTCCACAGCAGCTTCAGCGTGACCTCCTGAGCAGTCTTGTCCAGTCCCTGTTCCAGGCCATTGTCCAGGATTTCCACTGCACACTGCCTTGCATCCGTTATCTTCCTTGGTTCTGCCCGGATTGTTTCAGGAGTCAGTCGACACACGTGGTCGTTTTGCAGCCAGGCTTCGCACGGATGTGCTTCAGAAGGCGCGAAGCGCGGGCACCGGAACTTCTGTCAGATTCTGCATCGGGCAGGACAGAACGATCGCTCTGAGCTTTTCCTTCTTCACGGCAAGCACCAGGGGATCCACGGCGCCCGTGAAGATGCTCAGCACCACCGACTGGCCGGCAGCAGCCATGCTCGGAAAGGCCAATCAAACCAAAGAATCCGGTCTCGGGCCCAGCTCCGGACACGGAAATGCGGCAGAAAAGTTTAAAGACACGGACAGAACGCACAACAAAGCCAGAGAACGCCGGGGCCCCTTGTGCGTTGGAGACCGGTCGCCAACGCACAAGGCCTCGATTTCGTGCTGCGGGAGAGAGGACGGCCCTTGAACGCACAACGAACTTTTCGCCAGACCTGTCTCCCGCAGCACGAAATCGAGGCCTTGTGCGTTGGCGACCGGTCTCCGACGCACAAGGGCCAGCAGAAAAAACCGCATCCCTTGTGCGTTCAGTCACGGCTTGAACTTTTGGCGCACAGCCGCATTCCGATGCCGTGCAAAGCTAGATTCAGCATCAGCACGAAGTTGCGCGGAAGGCGCCTGGACCACGGATTCGCGGAAATTCTGATCTGAATGTAATAGTCGTATGGACAAACGGCGGACAACTACAAGACAACTCGAAGACAACTCGCAGACAACTCGAAGACAACTCGCAGACAACTCGAAGACAACTCGCGGACAACTCGAAGACAACTCGCGGACAACTCGAAGACAACTCGCAGACAACTCGAAGACAACCCACAGACAACTAACGAGTTGTCATCGAGTTGTCCCATAGCTGTCTGTGAGTTGTCTTGCAATTGTCTTCGAGTTATCTGCAGATATCTTTGCTCTTTTAGAAAAAGGCGCGGACAAACGGCGGACAACTACAAGACAACTCGAAGACAACTCGCAGACAACTCGAAGACAACTCGAAGACAACTCGCAGACAACTCGCAGACAACTCGAAGACAACTCGCAGACAACTCGAAGACAACTCGCGGACAACTCGAAGACAACTCGCGGACAACTCGAAGACAACTCGCGGACAACTCGAAGACAACTCGCGGACAACTCGAAGACAACTCGCAGACAACTCGAAGACAACTCGCAGACAACTCGAAGACAACTCGCAGACAACTCGAAGACAACCCACAGACAACTAACGAGTTGTCATAGAGTTGTCCCATAGCTGTCTGTGAGTTGTCTTGCAATTGTCTTCATCTGCAGATATCTTTGCTCGTTTAGAAAAAGGCGCGGACAAACGGCGGACAACTCGAAGACAACTCGCAGACAACTCGAAGACAACTCGCAGACAACTCGAAGACAACTCGCAGACAACTCGAAGACAACTCGCAGACAACTCGAAGACAACCCACAGACAACTAACGAGTTGTCATCGAGTTGTCCCATAGCTGCCTGTGAGTTGTCTTGCAATTGTCTTCGAGTTGTCTGCAGTCGCGAGGCTACGGTTTGCAAAGGGTTGCTTTGCAGAACTACAAACGGCGGACAACTACAAGACAACTCGAAGACAACTCGCGGACAACTCGAAGACAACTCGCAGACAACTCGAAGACAACCCACAGACAACTAACGAGTTGTCATCGAGTTGTCCCATAGCTGTCTGTGAGTTGTCTTGCAATTGTCTTTTTCTTGGCCTTTGCTGCCTTCTCCGTGCCTTGCCCCTGGGCACGCAGCCACTCAGCAGCCGCAGCTTCAGCTTTGTCCTTGGAGTCTTCGTCAATCCCCAGACCAACGAAAGAATCGTGGCCAGGGTGCCCTCGCTTGGATTCCTCAGACCCAACAGATCACCGCCCGCATAACTTTCCTTGGCGGAACTAACCCGCCCTGGCGGAACTAACCCGCCCTGGAAAAGCTAGCCTTGCCAGGGCGGAACTAGCCCGCCCTGGATTAAGCGGAACTAACCCGCCCTGGCGGAACTAACCCGCCTGGTAAAGCTAGCTTTGCCCGGCGGAACTAACCCGCCTTTAGCGGAACTAACCCGCTCTAGGCGGAACTAACCGCCTTTAGCGGAACTAACCCGCTCTAGGCGGAACTAACCCGCCTTTAGCGGAACTAAGCCGCTCTAGCGGAACTAACCCGCTCAAGCGGAACTAGCCCGCTTGTCTGTCACCATGGCTGATAAGTCTCAGCTACGTTGTCCTGCAAATGAGCCATGAAGACAAGTGGGCGGTTCACGTTCAGACTATACCAAATATATTTTAAGCCGTCCTTCCACTCTTATCAAAATAATAAGCCGTCCATCCACTCTTATGAGCCCTTGCGGGTAAAATTTGTATATAGTATTATCTATAATTTTAACATTGGCCCCAAAAGTTCAAAAGTTTAGCTTCGGCTGAGTGAGTTTATAGGGTTTATAGGGTATAGGTTTTATAGGATTTATAGGGCTCATAGGGTTCAGGGTTTCGGGTTTAGGATTTATAGGGTTTATAGGGCTTGTAGGGTTTAGGGTTTAGGATTTATAGGGTTTTATAGGGTTTATAGGGTTTAGGATTTATAGGGTTTATAGGGTTTATACGGTTTAGGATTTATAGGATTCATAAGGGTTATAGAGTTTATAGGGCTCATGGGGTTTAGGGTCTTGGGTTTAGGGTTTATAGGGTTTATAGAGTTTATAGGGTTTATAGGGTTTCGGATGAATAGGGTTTAGGGTTCAGGAGGGCCCCTTTGAGGTTCCGGGTTTGGGGCTTTAGGGGTTTAGGGGTCTTGAGGTTTAGGATTTTCTGATTTGGGGCTTAGCGCTTTTGGTTTTAGGGTCTGGATGAGTATGAGTTCCGGGTTTAGGGTTTAAAGGTTGGGGTGGGACGGACGCAGATCTATGGGATATCCTTGCGGCGCAGTGTGGACCTGCCCGGAACCAGTGCTGGCTCACGAGGGTTTAAGAGCTTAGAGTGTGGAGATGAGGCAAGTGTAGGGCTGAGCCAGGCCTGAGCTGCGGATTCGGGGTTTGCTTACCTTTGGGGGCCTTATAAAGGGGTCTTTAAGGGTTACTATAAGGGATCTATAAGGGTACTATAATATAGGGCCTTAATCATCCTATAACTTACCTTTGGTTAGTAGGGAATGGAAGAATGGTAGTACCAGTAGCTATAATTGTACCCCATTCCTCCATTCCCAACTAACCAAAGGTAAGTTTGGGGAGCGCAGGGTTCAGGTTCAACTTTTGGGCCCAGAGCTAAAGGTTTGGGCTTCAATGAGCCCTGCACTTCCGCTGTTCATACGCATCTGGTGCAGGGGTCGGAATACCCAGTGCCAACATCCTCTGAATCCTATTTTCCATCCTGTTCGCCCCCCAAAACGCCGATTCCAACCCTATAAACCCTGAAACGAAACATCTTACTGTTGGTATATATTTACACTATGACTTTATGCAATATGTTTTTAGGGTTTAGGGTTCAGACAGAGGCTCTTGATTACGATGGGACTTGCGACTTTGGCATCCACATGTCTCTTTAGCAACGTAAGTATAAATGGATTACGAGGGCATGATAAACTATATACTATGTACTTGATTGATTTTTTACTGCTTCCATAGCAGAACTCCAGAGCCCCCTCCAAGGATCCAGCAGAGCGGGATCCACTGAATCGAGACCACTTCCAGCAAGCAGACCGTTCGCCTGATGGCGCAGATGTCGGGTTTAGCTTCAGGGCTTAGGGTTCAGTTTTCTGTTGTTTGGGGGGGGAGGGGGGCTTGGTTTGAGAGCACAGGTCTAATCCAGGGCAGTGGTAACGAATGCATCACTCACAGCACTATCTGCATGCAACCGCTCATGGCGTCCGCACTGCCATGTTCATCTGGAGACAGCCATTTTCCGATCACCATGAGTACCATCATCTCCTCAACAGAATCGTGACCATGACTTTCTCAGTGATCGTTTTCATCATTGTTATCCAAAGCGTCATGCAAAGCTGCAACACAACGCCAGAACCTCAAGAGCCTGACCCCTACATTGCCCTACATGCCAAATTCCAAAGCCTGCAGCCCCAATGCCTAAATAGCAGATACCAAATCCTAAACCCAAATATGAAAGTCGCCAACTCCCTAATGCCTAATTGACAAATACCAAATCCTAAACCCAAATATGAAAGTCTCCAACTCCCTTTTGGCCGGGGTGCCAGTGCAGGGGCGACGGGATCATCGCACCACTCGGCCTTGTGGTTAGTTTAGGGTTTAGGTTAGGGTTGTGGTTATTTTGGGGAGTTCAGACTGTTGGGTGTAGTCATTTTGCGAGGGCTCTAAACCCTGAACCCCAGCTGGGGCTGTTGAGGGTTGTGGGGATTTCCAGGTTTGATCACCGTGGGCTCGAAGGATGTCAGGGTTAAAGGCTTCGTATTAGTGGTTAGGTAGTTTATAAGTTTAGGGTTTCGAAATGCTGTATGTAGGGAGCAGGATAATGCAAGGGTCCGATTAGTATGTGGATCCCCCTATAATGCAAATTTTGAAAATTTACTTGAGAACCCTGAGTGTGTTTTGGGGGGGCACCATGGACACAAATGAAACACAACGATTCTTCGGACCAATTATTCGGGGGAAGCAAGGCTTCAGAGTTGCTGTTAATTAAAATTACGAATACTGCTACGAATACTATAGACTATTGCTATCACTCTACTATCACTAATCACTACAACTCCTGAGCCCGCCACTTGGCAAAATCAACAAGCACACATTCGTGAGTAGCTTTGTGTGTTTCGGGGGTCCCTACGCCAATCAGACCCCACAGCAAGAGCCTGAACGATGAGTAATTCCATGCTTTAGGGTTCCTCATTATGCCTCTAGCCGACTATACCCAAAAGCCCTTTTCTATATATGCTGCGCTTTGCTGAGCAACTTCTGCGCAGCGGCGTCCTTCTCTTCTTGCTCTGCCTCCTCTTGCTGCTCTCGCAGTTTGCCCGAAAGAAACGCTGGGTCATGGAGATGGCCAACCAGTTTTGAAGTCATCTCCGGAGACTAGCCGCTTCCTGCGGTGCTTGCAAAGAAGACCATCGCTCTGTTCTCCACCATCCGTTCCCAGCTTCTGCCAGCTTCTCATTTTTTTCCACACTCACCAGTTCAGACGGAGGAGCCCGAGACTCCCCAACTGTAAGTATGCGCGGGCACACGGATGCTGAGCCGAATTGGCGACGACGTGGACAAG